CAATGAGGCCACATATGCAAACGACCTCTGTGCTCTGAGGCAAAGGTCAATCAGGCCACATATGCAAATAACCTCTGTGTTCTGACTGGCTATGGTGGGGGGGAGAGGAACAGCAAACTGTTTAGAATGTTGGAGGCGATACTCAGGCAACGCAGCCAGTGGATAGGGACAGCTTCTGACTGACAGATCATGGAGCCAAAGGCTGTGGGCGCCATGTGGAATGTTCAGTAGCATGCCACCACCAACAGAATTATTCTATAGAGAGAAGAGAGAGAAGCTTTCATGTGCATGCATTCTTCTTCAGATACATTGAAATGGAAGTTGCCAGTCCATATGTATAGGTAGAGGGTGAGCAGTGAATTAGCATACAGCATAATGAAGCTGTTTAACAGATGCAAGGACCAAACAGGAATAACAAGTGTGGTTTATATGGTCACCATTTGTTTTTGTTTAGTACTGAAATACGTAAATATATTTCAATGTATCTGAAGAAGTCTTCATGCACATGAAAGCCTATACCCAGAATGAAACCTTATTGGTCTTAAAGGTGCCACTGGACTCGAACTCTGTTCTGCTGCTTCAGACCAACACGGCGACCCACCTGAATCGATAGGTACTGTGTTGTTAATCCCTGGCATGGATTATCTCTCTGGTTCTGCATTAAGACTTTGTCTTTCTGGTGTGTGTGTGTGTGTGTGTTGGAGTTATGAGTCTGCAAGGCCTGTGTCTACAGCTGTGCTGCTTTTCACCCTCCCTGCCCTTGGATACACAAGTTGTTCTTGGCCAGAAATCTGCCTCATCGCTCTGAGAGCAACTGGCTCCTGTCGATACCGCTGTCTCAGGTGAAAGAAGACATGGGATTTGATCGTTCAGAGGCAACTTTGTTTTCAGCGGTGATTGGTGCTGGCGTTCCAAGTTTTGCGCTCTTGGCACTCACTGTTTGTCCCCTGGCATTGCTCTGGAAAGTTGGGGGAAAGGAGGGTGAGACCTAAGGTGTGTGTTGCAGCAGAAGTGGGGAAATCATGCAGCGAACCGAAGGGCAGGGGCTACAATCTGAGACTGGAAGTGTTCTCTTCCACCAACCCCAATATGGTGCCAGAAGAAGTCAGAGGCCCTCTGGGTGGCTATGGAGCCAGTGGGTTGAACTGATGCAATCGAGCCCCGGTTTTACATGGGGAGGCAGAAGCCAAGCCGGGAGGCAGGGCTCAGCTGCATGGCATGCTGGTGATTCTTTGAGTGGAGCTTCCCAGCCATGGTTTGCCTTGAAAAATCAGGTGTAGGAGGACCCTTAAAGAAGAACTACAGGGGGAATTTCAGCTTCCCCTGTTCCGTTTTTGCAAGGTGACACTGCCTTGGGGAGCCACTCTTTGTCCCCTTGGGGTAAGCAGAACCAGCTGGTTGTTAGAGCACTGGAGCAGGATCGGGGAGACCTGGGTTCAAATGCCCACTTTGCCATGAAAGGTAGCTGAGTGACCTTGGGCCACTCACACATTGTCTCAGCCTAGCCTAACTCACAAAGGTCGTTGTGGGAGATAATTGGGGAGAAAAGCAGGATATAAATAAAGTAAAAATATTGTGACCCGTTATCAGTCCCTGTATGTTTCCCCATAGTGGCTCCCAAGGTCTGTTTTAAGATGGGCAGGGGTGTTCGTCTGTCTGTAGCAGCAGAAATGGGCAAGAGTCCCGTGACACCTTTAAGACTAACAAAATATGTGGCAGGGTCGGAGCTTTTGTGAGTCACTGCAGCGACTCACAAAAACTCATACCCTGCCACAAACGTTGTTAGTTTTAAAGGCCCGTTTTAGATAGGGGAAATGGACCCGGGGGGGGGGGAGTTTAACCCCACTCCAATTGCAGCACGTTTCCAATTCAGAGTAGGGTCCCCACACTTGATCTTCCAAGGACAAAAACACTGGGAACTCTGTTCGCAGACCCTCTCCCCTGTATCAGAGGCACAGTCAAAGCATTAATCCCGCTATGGATCTGTGCTCACTGCCCTTTTTTTTTTCCCAATTAGCAAACTCCAAGACTGAACTGTCCTTTGAAGTGACTGGTTTTTCCTTATCCTAGCACAAACTGACCAGGCAGGTAACTTAGCTGGGGGGGGGGAGGAGGAGGAGGAGGAGGAGGAGGAGGAGGAGAAGAAGAAGAAGAAGAAGATTGGATTTATATCCCGCCCTTCACTTGGAGTCTCAGAGCAGCTTACAAACTCCTTCCCCTCCCCACAACAGACACCCTGTGAGGTGGGTGGGGCTGGGAGAGCTCTTTCCAGAACTGTCCTTGAGAGAACAGCTCTGACAGAACTGTGTCTTGCCCAAGGCCATCCAGCAGCTGCAAGTGGAGGAGTGGGGAATCAAGCCCGGTTCTCCCAGATTAGAGTCTGCGCTCTTAACCACTGCACCAGACTGGTAGCCCTTGTGACAATCAAAAAGCTCGCCAAAAGGTCTGCTTCCAGAGTACAAAGCTTGCTTTGGGGCCCTTCTCAGGTCTCTGGAATGATGGTGAGCGCTCCAAAGAAGGTGCCCTTGATGTTCAGCCTTGTAGACTTGGATATTCATGATTATAGTATATAATGCTAAATATGAATTGCTTTTAAATTATCCACCTAGCCTTGAGGGCAGCCTAAAAATATAAGAGATGCATAATTACAAAGTTAAACAAGTTGAGCCCGGGAGGCAGTGAGCCGCTTGTTATTGACAACCCTGAAGTTCAGAATGTTCAGAAAGTGGAAACGTTGCTGTCGCCCAGAACTCCCGTTGAATGACAGGCTGTTTCATAGGATTGCCAGCCTCCAGGTGGTGGCTGGAGATCTCCTGGGGCTACAACTGATCTCCAGGCGACAGCAATCAGTTCACCTGGACCAAATGGCGGCTTTGGAAGTTGGACTGTATGGCATCATACCCCACTGAAGTCCCTCCTCTCCCCAAACCCCACCTTCCTCAGACTCCACTTCTAAAATCTCCAGGTATTTCCCAGCCCAGAGCTGACAACCCCAGCTGTTCATTTTTAAACTGTCTTCTTGGAAGCTAGTTGGGTTCCTTACCCGCTTAGAATCCCATCCTCGTCGCCAATGTTAGGTATGAGACTTCAGTCAGCTCGTAACAAGTGAATTCAGCTTTATCAGAATCAGACAACACAACAACAACAAACAGAGCAAGGAGCTCTCTTTTAAACTTTCCAGGCATGTAAGGCCACGCCCCCTAGAGTTTTAATAACCAATCATAACTCTCGCATAACGGCCAATAATATTCGTTCCCCCCCATAACCTTCCTTAGGTCCTGATTTGTCTAACTTTGCAGAGTAGCCAATCAGAATGTGCATTTCACGATACCTGCCCTTGGTTGAAGCTCAGACATTACTTTATGTATGTACATGCATAACACCTTGCAAATGCAAACAGGCTTCCTTGAACAAGAAGTGGTCTGTGACTAAGTGCCTGGTAACATTGCATGAATCGAGTAAATACCGCAGTCTAGGCTGTGTCCCAGAATCCTTTGCGGCACGCTGGGGTTGTGTGGTAGATACACAGGCTTTCTCTGGCAGACAAGGCCAGGAACATAGGAAGCTGATTGGTGATGTCGACATGGTCTATTCAGGCTGTTAATTAGAGCCCCTGCCCCCTGACAGCCTTTAATGAAAGGTAGCAGGCTTTGAACCTGCAGCCATCAAGAGTTGCCAACCTCCAGGTGGCACCCGGAGATCTCACGCTATTACAATTGATCTCCAAGCAACCGATACCAGTTTCTCTGGAGAAAATGTCTGCTTTGGAGGGTGGACTCTATGGTACTGTGACCTGCTGAGGTCTTTCTCCTCCCCAAACCCCACCCCCGCCAGGCTCTGCCCTCCCAAAATCTCCAGGTATTTCCCAACCCAGAGCTGGCAACCCTATCGTTATGCAAAGCGTAACCAATGAACTACACCTCCTCCTCTTATGTGGAAAGGGTTCCCAGAAGGGGACCACTAATATTCAAGCTGAAGACAAATGCACTTTTAGAAACATTAGTAGCCTCCATTTTCCCCAGGCCTGGGGAAATGGAAGCAAATGTGGCTTGTGGTGTAGTGGTGTCGTTCTAAAAACTGCTTAGGCTAAGTAGGCAAGTATGAAACGCACAGTGCTAGACGAGTGATCTTCTGAGTTGCATCTAGCATGGGTGTAGTGTGGTTACAGTGTTATTCCCACGTTCCCCTGGAAGCTGGCTGGGTGACCTTGGGTGAGTCACTTTCTCTCTCAGATGTACCTGCCCCACAGGGTGGTTGCTGTGAACAAGAAATGGAAGGGGAGAGGTCGATTTTGGGTCCCCATTGGGGAGAAAAGTAGGGTGTAAATGTCCAAAGAAAATAAAAGCAATATACAAGACACTTCTTTGGGTGTAAGTATTGTCCCTTAGGGGGCTGCAGTGGCTTAGAGGTTAAGACACTGCAGACCGGAAGATCTGTAGTTCGGCAGTTCAAGACCTGAGTGCAATGTGATGGAGTGAGCTCCTGTCTCTGGACCCAGCTCCTGCCAACCTAGCAGTTCAAAAGCAAGAAATTGCAAGTTGATAAATAGGTACTGCTTTGGAGGGAAAGTAACAGCATTCTGTGCGCCTTGGCGTTTAGTCATGCCGGCCACATGACCACGGAAACGTCTTCGGACAGTGCTGGCTCTTCGGCTTGGAAACGGAGGTGAGCACTGCTCTCTAGAGTCGGATTCGACTGGCTTTCGAGCAAGGGAAACCTTTATTGTCCCTCCCTTATCCCACTGAGATTTCAGAACCTGTGCCTGTAGAAGAGTTCTGTGTAATTAAAAAGCATGCACTGCCAGCGTCTGAAGCCGTAGCTTGTCAAGTAAAATATTATTGTATCACTGGATCCCCCCAGAAGGAAAAACAGTTTGATGAACTTAAATACCCTCCTTGCCGTTTTCAAGTCTGTCGATGCAGGGGCTAAACCAAGGTGGCTCGGCATTTCCCTGAAAACCGACTCGCTACTCTCTTCCTGACTTGCCTTTCTTTTCATAGCTTCATCGCCAAGAATATTATGCGGCTGCAGCGTCTGGGGATTACCCACGTCCTGAACGCTGCTGAGGGCAGGTCTTTCATGCACGTCAACACCAACGCGGAATTCTATGAAGGCACCGGCATCACCTACCACGGCATCAAGGCCAACGACACGCAAGAGTTCAACCTTAGCCGCTACTTCGAGGAGGCTGCTGACTTTATCGATAAGGCGCTGGCGCAGAAAGATGGTGAGGCGCCCAGCTTGCCCCCTCTTTGGCTCTGCTGTGTGAATTCATTGGTTGTCTAGCTTGGCAGGTTAGGGGTGTGTGCACTCTCTTCGGTGTTTTTGGGTGACTCGTTTTTAGCTCAGCAGGGTTTACAGCTAGATGGCCACAGGCTCTGGCCTGGAGCTTTTGGTCTTTGATGGGGTTGCCGATACGCAACTCGGAGACCACATCCTTGTGACTTCAACCCAAGGACCTGCAAGACTCATGGTGGGGGGGATCCCATTCTCCTCATCCCATTCATCATCCCATCATACCCCAGTCGAAGCCTTTCACCATCCCATTCTCCTCTCTGAGAGCCAGTTTGGTGTAGTAGTTAAGAGCGCGGACTCTAATCTGGGAGGACTGGGGTTTGATTCTCCACGCCTCTGCATGCAGCTGCTGGTGTGACCTTGGGTCAGTCACAAGTTCTCTCAGAGCTGTTCTCTCAAGAGCAGTCCTCGAAAGAGCTCTCTCAGCCACACCTACCTCACTGTTGTGTCTGTTGTGGGGAGGGGAAGGGAAAGGGGATTGTAAGCCACTCTGAGACTCCGAGTGAAGGGTGGGGTATAAATCCAGGCCCATTCTGCATCTAGCATTTGCTCCGTTGTTTTATAAAACCCACACTGGAACAGAACAAGACATGGCTCAAAACCACATTCAGATACCCCCCATCACCATACTGACTGTGGAGTCACCCCTGAACGGCGATAAAATGGCCATGGATCTATGCAGACGGCTACCATAAAACTGAGAGATCAAATGAAGTGAAAGCGGCATGCCATCTGGACACTGCCACAAAATCCGACAATGAATCAAACGGAAAGTGGCATGCGATGTAGAGGGGAATTTCTGTTCCAACATGGGTTTGGTAAAACAGCAGAGCAAATGCTAGATGCAGAATGGGCCCCAATCTCCTCCTCCTCCTCCTCCCTGTAGCTTTCTTGCAGCTCCCACTTTGCTCTAGTCTCCCACTCCATCCCCCCTTTTTCTGGAGAGAAACGTGGGCAAGAGGGAATTTTGCACACCCTCCACCCTCCCAGTCTAGCCCCCCTGCTTGCAATGCTCCCTCTAAGCTGTGGCGTCTTCGTGAGCAAAAATTCTACACTGGGAGTGACTGGCATTAAAGTTGTGAGCGAGCGATTTGGCTACTGCATAAATTAGTCTGCTCTGGAGCCATCCCTTCCTGGGCTAAGACAAAAGATGTGTGAGCCGGAGGCTAAAGAACTGTGAGCTAGCTCACACCAACTCAGCTTAGAGGGAACACTGCCTGCTTGTCCCCCTTCCCATCACTGTGCCTATTCTCCATCCTGCTCTCCTACTGTTCTGCCTACCCCATGCCCTTCTGGCTTCCCAGCCATGCCCCTGCCCTGACACTCCCCACCTTCACTCTGCCTGCCCACCGGCGGCGGGGGGGAGGGAGCCCACAGAGGTAGCAGCTACACCCCTCCTTCCCCTGCTCACTTGTGGCCCCTTCCAGTTCCTTTGGTGGGCCAATGGATGCAGATTGTCTGCACTTGCATCAACCAAGCTCATCCATTTTGTCATCCATCCTGTCTACATGGTCCTTGTCTTGCATGTATTGATAAAACTCCATAAGGTGTGCTCATGGTTACAGATATAATAATAAGGTTCTTCTTCTGGTCGCTTGTGAAAGGGTGGGGGAGGGAATAATAAATGGGAAAATTGACGTATTTGATGTTTGGTTATGAAAAGGAGTATGAACGAATATGAAATGTAAGACATCAATACAAATACAAAATTTAATTAAAAAAACACACACCATGGTCCTCGTCTTTGGTTTTAATTATCCGTGGATGGGACCATGTTGACTATTATGTATATTGAGGTGTTTGTGATGTACGTATTAAAAAACCAACGGTGCAATCTCGGGCAGAGTTACCCCAGTCTAAGCCCACAGTGTGCTCAGATTGTAGTACCTGCATAGGATTGCACTGTAAATGATCCATATTTCCGTCTAGGTTGGGTGGTGATTCCCAAATCTTACATTAAAACAGGAGTCCAGTGGGCACTGTGAAGACTACCCAAGTTTATTCCAGCATAAGTTTTTTGTGGGTCAAAGCTCCTTTCAGCAGAATTATTTATGTAGAAAATTTCTATGCTCCCTCTCCAGAGACCAATTCGAAGTGGCAGACGGATGAAATAATGTGAGACAGTTAAAAACAAGACATTTTGTTTTTTTAAAAACCCAAGCATCAAAAACAAGCCAGGTCCTTTAAAAATAATTGCTGAAGCCATTAGAACAGATGCAAATGGTGTTAGTTTTGCATTCCAAGAATCATTTAAACCCTCCCCCCCGGCCAAAACTTTCTAGGTCATGTGCTTTGAAGATATGTTTGTAAAACTTAATGAAGTTTCAGAAGCCAGACTGGGGAATGAACGAGACTTGAGTAAGCTCTTCAAAGGTTTTGTTTGTGAAATATATGCGCTGTCTCTCCAGAGACAGGCTTGAGGTGGTTCACAAAGTGAAATGGTAACAATAAAGTCACAAAAACACTAATTCTAAAATCATCAATCATAAACAAGCCAGGGCATGCAAAAGAGCAAACATGATATTCAGAAGCCTAAACGTTTCGGAACTCCTCCCTCCGTTAGCAGAAGCAAAATATAGGATGCGAAATAATGAAATATATGCAAATTTGTTTTACTGCATAATGTGCACTCGACCCAGGCTGGCCTGATCTTGTTAGGTCTCGGAAGCTAAGCAGGGTCATTCCTGGCTAGTACTTGGATGGGAGACCTCCAAGGAAGTCCAGGGTCACAATGCAGAGGCAGGCAAGGGCAAACCACCTCTGAAACGTCTCTTGCCTTGAAAAAACCTGTGGGGTCACAGTAAGTCAGCTGTGACTTGATGGTAAAAATTAATAACAACGCACATTGGTTTTACTGTGCAATGTGCACTGGTCAGAGGACACAGGGTATTTTTAGTGCAGTAGGTGGGTTCCCTTGGGGAAAACTTCTGGTTTCATTGGCCCCGGTCACATGGGCTGGATATCGCGGGGGGGGAGGCGTGGCTAATTGCCCCGGCGCAGTTTGATCCACGATTACACGATCAGACGGGCTGGCGGCACACCATGGGTCCTTCCCTCGGCGCCAACGAGGGACTGGAGGGGAATGCCGCGCGCCGGCGGGATCACACCACGGGCGTCTGGAGGCAGCCCATGGCAAACGTTTACTAGTACCTTGGGGGTACTAGTTTTTAAATGTGCATTGTCGGCGGGAAGCCACGGGTGCGCTCCACTTCCCAGATGTTGGGGTGTGATCGCGCCCGGATAATCTGCCCACCTTCCGTGCCTCTCCCGCGGCAACTTTGCCGTGTGACCGGGGCCATTTGTAGCCTTTGGGTGCTTCTGGACCCAACTTCTACAGTCCCAGCTAACAGCTGCAGCCAACAGTGTTGCTGCCCCCCCCCGCACTCCCATCTTTATACTTTTAATTACATAAGGTAATGCCAAAAGGTACAGTTTCTATTCTAGGTTAAGAGAACAATGTTTGAGTCCAGTGGCACCTTTTAAGACCAACAAAGTTTTATTCAAGGTATGAGCTTTCGTGTGTGTGCACACTTCCTCAGATACATTGAAATGGAAGTTACCAGTCCGGACATATAGGCAGAGGGTGGGTAGTAAATTAGCATGCGATATAATGAAGATGTATATCAGATTTGGGAATAACAAGCTTAGTTTATATGGTTACCATTTGTTTGGGTTCAATTCCGGGCGTAAAAACATAGTGAAGGAAATAAGTGTGTCTAAAATGGAGATTGATGTATCCATAGTTGTGGAATGCTGAGAGCAATTAGTTGAGACGCCGAGGCGACTGGACTCAAACTTTGTTCTACTGCTTCAGACCAACATGGCTACCCCACCTGGACCTAGGTTGTAAACGATGTATTTTATATTGTTAAAACAGTGAAACACATGTAGGTCTAATGGGAAAGAAAGAATTGGGTATGTTTCAGTCCCCCCCCAAATTCTTTTTAAAAAGTAAACAAGTGTCCGACTTACCTGAGGGACCGCCTTTCCCCAAGAGCACTTCGGTCCGGGGCACAACATCGCCTGGTGGTTCCAGGCCCCCGGGAGGCAAGGCTCGCCACGACTAGGACCAGATCCTTTTCAGTGGTGGCCCCTACCTGGTGGAACGAGCTCCTGGAGGAGATCAGGGCCCTGCGGGACCTTAAGCAGTTCCGCAGGGCCTGTAAGACGGAGCTCTTCCGCCAGGCTTTCACATAGGGGCCACCACTACCACCGCCACCAATGAGGTGGACAACATCGGGGTTAAGGATGGCCCAGGAAGATCTGCCACTATTTCTGCGTGGCCACTGGATTTACCTGGTTGAGCTATAGGATAACATCACCCTGGAGAATCATCTGGAGACCATCTTGTTAAATTGAGTATAAGTTTATTAACTGTCATGAATGTTTCATTGCTTTTATCTGTTTTATATGGGCTTTGCCCCTTGTAAGCCGCCCTGAGCCTGCTCTGCGGGGAGGGCGGGGTATAAATCTTAACAAATAAATAAATAAATAAACTTTTTAAAATTGTACATCTGTAGGGTAGTCATATTGCACCGTTGCAGCAAAGCTGGAGTCCTGGCACCTGAAAGGCCTTGGGGTGGATTCTGTGAACCTGTCCCAAACATGGTAGAAAGTTTCTACCAGGGGGTTTGTGTCCTCTTCTGCCAGCACCTCCGTTTGTGCAGGGGCAGTCTTGTGCAAACACAGGTGCTAGTGGAAGAGGAAGCGGGATCCGCGGTGGAGGTTGTCTAGTGTGCGTGGAACTCATTCACGGCACCCGAGGCCAAGCCATTTTTATTCTAGCGTTCATGCACTAGAGCTTGCTTTGTCGGATGCATAGGGTCAGATCCAGGCCAAATGGGCAATTTGCACTTATTCCTCTTTCCCACTGCAGGGTGTGCCACACACACCCCTCCGTCATTCTTTAGGTTTCCTTAAACTCCAGGAGCAGCATTTCATGGATATCAGTGGGAGAGGGGAGGTGTGAATATTCCATTGGTCAGTTTGGTCTGGATCCAACCCATAATGTGCAGTTAGCCCTTGGACGTCATCGCCTTTGGTTGTCTGTTGCCGGGATGTGCGTGTGTGTGTGCGCGCATGCTGTGCATTTGCATGTATCCAATTATTTAACCTGAAGAGATAAAAAATAAATTCAAACCCCGCTTTTCTCTCTCAAGCCGCTCACAACACCATTCTCCCCTCCCTCCTCGTCTGCTTCTTCTTTCCCGCTCAGGCCGGGTGTTTGTCCACTGCCGCGAAGGCTACAGCCGCTCGCCGACGCTGGTCATCGCTTACCTCATGCTCCGGCAGAACCTGGATGTCAAGAGTGCCGTGAGCATGGTGCGGCAGAAGCGGGAGATCGGCCCCAACGATGGCTTCCTGAGGCAGCTGTGTCAGCTCAACGAGCGGCTGGTGAAGGAAGGCAAGGTGAAGAAGCCATAGCTGCCTGGCCTGGCCTCCCTCCCTCTCCGCGGCTCACCGGAATGCCCTCCGTTGCCAGCTCCAACTGCCGTGCCGTGCCGTGCCATGCCAGGGGGCCGAACAAGCACAAGAGAGCCCCTGCACTATACAAAATACCCCTAGAGGAAGACTCCAACCACTAGGCTTCGGCTCGCCTCCTGGGTCTTTAGTTGTGGAATCTGCCTGTTGTAATGTGTGTGTGTGTGTGTGTTTGTGTGTTTGGAGGCACTGGGCACGTCTTATCAGCTAGGAACCCTTTGGGGATTAAAAGCTTTATATTGCCAGTTCCCTGCCGGCACAGCTAGCTGGTGCTGTCCCCATCATTCTGCCATATGTGTGTGTGTGTGTGTGGGGGGCACGAGAGTTTTCTCGCTGACCTGTTGCGGGTGGTCCCTCTACCCCCTTATGCCGACGTGTCAAAGGTTATGGCTGGAGAGTAGGCCATGTGACCCACAGGGAAAGTCTGGCTTGGGCTACTGTTGATGTGTCCGAGAGATTGTTGAGCATGTGATCCAAGGTTCTAAGCTGTAGGCGTTAGGCGAGTGAGCTGGTTGGCGCCTACCCCATAGCAGGTGGATTGCGGGACTCCTCAGAGGGCCTCTGGTTGCACTGTGGGCTAATGAAGGTGGGCAAGTGGTGTGATTTATTTTCCATGTGATCGTTGCATTGGGTCGGGGTGATGCCAGCAGGGATTTCCTCACAGGCATCTTTGTCCGGGGCCCTCCCGGTGGGGTCTGTCTGCCCGGATCTTTTATGGAGTGAGCTCCAGCCCTCTAATCCAGGGAGGCGTTCAGAGAAGGATAGCCTTGCCCTGTGGAGCTTGGCCTATTGGTGCACTGAGCTTCCACCTTTGACCCATCCGGCCGCTTAATAGTCTTGTTCTCTGGGCAGCACCTTCCTAACTGTGTGTTTGTCATGGAAACCAGGTAGCTCTCAGGGGTTATTTTTGGGAGGATGCCCCAGAAATGAGTGCGGGGGGGGGCAGCTGGACGTGGCACGCAGAGGGGGTTGGAGACCCAGGTAGCTGGCCCCACACTAATTTTTTCAAAAATCCTATTTCCCCCTCTTACGTGCATGCTCGAAAACTGGTGCCTAGGTCCCCGGTCGAATGGACTGTAAATATACAGAAGCTCTTCCTTGTAATCTTTTTTTTGGTTTTGTTTTGTATAGCTCTGTGTTTCATAGGAACCTGTGGATATATACATAATACAATGAAGTATAGATAACAATAATATTTATATATAGCTCTATATATCTATATGCACTCAAGCAATGAAGAAGAAAAAAAAGCCATTGGAGAATATCCAGTTAATGCAAGTAACGTTTTGTATATATATAGCCACGCTCATGTTTTTGGTGTCAACAGTAGCCTTTTTAACAAGTTGGCCAATGTGGCAGAAGCCCAGTATTCGGGGGGGGGGCAGTTCCCCTCTTCTGTGTCGGCCTTCCCCTTCATGTTGTATCGGGGGTCCCAGCATTTTAGGGGGCAACGAGGGCTGCTTTGGGAAGGGGGCAAGGCAGACAATTTGTGTTTCTGTGCATAGAAGTTAAGATGGCATCTGACCCATGTGTGGCCACTGCTGTCTTGGCGACTGTTGGCTAAAGTGTCACCCGGATGCTGTTTCTGGCTACATGTAGTGATGGCAAACAGTGCTTGCCTCCATTCAAGGTGGCAGCCACTGGCTTGCTTCAAAAACCCAATGAAGGGTATCGACAATCTGTTTCCTCCCCTCCAGTCTGCCAGTCTTTGTGACAAGAATTTTTCTTGGCCATTTTTTCCCAAAGTTTAGCCAATTAAACTGGCATGTTCAGATCCATTTAGTTGGTGTTTGGGTGGCCTTCAGTCTGGGGTTTTGGAGGTTTTGTCTCTGTGGAGAATCAGCCTTTTGAAGAGACTGTTCCTGTGTGAGGGAGCTGCTTAACCAACTGGCTCTCCATGCAGGTCAGTTCCTCTTTCCCTCCAGGGTCCCTAACGTGGTGCTTGTGGGTGTCATGGACTTGCCAGCACTTTCCTGGTGCCCACCAAGTACTTTGAGAAAGTGAGTAGGGTCGCGTGGGGGCTTTGCTGAGCATTGCCCTTTGGAAATTGGATAGGCTGTGCTGATTTTTTTAAAAAAAGTTACTTTGTCTGCAGCTGCCCCCACAGCACAAGGATCTTTACTGTGTGACTGAAGATAAGCTGTGGCAGCCATTGTGTGGCTGACACTGCCTCCTGTGGCCGTCCTTTTGTGGCTGCACCCACCGTACTGTGTCAGGATTCCAAAGATGCCCACAGGCTCAAAAAGGTTGGGGACCCCTGAACTAGAGTGTATGACGGTCAGCCGTGGCAGCCATTTTTATGCCTGTCTCCACCTCCTGTGGTGGCCATTTTGTGGCAGCCATTTTGTGTGTCAGAATTCCAGAGGTGCCCATAGGTTGGGGACCTTTGCTTAGGGTTGCCAAGTCAGAAACTTACCACAGTGGGGGACTCCTGGCTGTCGTCTGGTGTGCGCGCGCCGCATCCACATCACCCGAAAGTGACGTGGGTACGCCGGGCACGCTGGGGGCAGGGCCAGGACCATCCGAGGGAAAACCATAGAGTTTTCCCTCGGATGACCGTGGCCCCACCCCCAGCGTGCCCGGCGTACCCGCGTCACTTCTGGGTGACGTGCACATGGGGGTGGAGTTCCCCCCGGGGCCCGATCCGCCGGCGGTGGGGAACGGGCCTCTGGGGCGGGGGTTTCCCCACCCCCGGGGGGACTTGGCAAGCCTACCTTTGCTCTATATCCTTATATCCTCCCCACAGAGCATATAAATGGAAATCTATACCTGAGTAGTCTTCTGCTGCCTTTACAGGCTTCACTTGGGCCCTTCCTCATTCTCCTTGCCTTGGTGATCCCTGGGACTAGCATCTTCATTTGCATACTGAAGGAAAGAGGGGGATAATTGCTGTCCCCCCCCCTTGGGTCTCTGGGTAAATGTGATAGACTTGAGTTTTTCCTTTTCCCCTCCTGGCAACAGAACTGGAACTGCCCACTCCTGTGTAAGCCTCTGAAGATCATTTTGAAAGACAAGAAGTGGAGTCAGGCGGCAATAAGGGGTGCTTCCTGCTGCCATCTTGAGAAGGCTGGAGGAGCTGCATCCCAGCATGCACAGCTGTGGATTTCCACAAAGTTGTTCCTCCCCCTTCTGGTTGCAGAGCAGAGGATTAGCGTTCTAAGCATGTGCCCAAGGGTCTTGTCTTCCTGCTAAGTCAGGGTACCCTGCTCCAATATAACTGAGATTTGGGGGAAGGTCAGCAAAAGGGAGTGCTTGGACTCTGGCATCCCATTGTGTTTTCGAAGTGAAGCACTCAGGAGCTTTTAATTAAAATGTAATATCTTGAAGGCATTTGGCAACATTTATTTTGCTCTGAAAATCCAAGCTCCGTTTTCAGATTTTATGCAGGATCGGAGATTGAGGGCTTCTGGCTTTCTCATGGTGACTGTCAGTGGTGAAGGTTTTCATCCACAATTAAAGCCTCTTGTTCAGACCCGAGAGCAGTATTTAGAGCCCTGGAATTGTGTGGGTGCTACCTGGAGTTAACGCTGGATTGTGTGACATAGGGTTTCTCCAGTGTTCCGGGGTGGGGCAGTCTTAACTTTTGGGAAGAAGCTCCTTGTGTTGGCAGGCAGGGTTGCCAGACTTTGCGTTTTCTGCATTCTCATTTTGTCGCTTGTGTGTCCCTATTGCTTCAGGGTTTTTTTCACCCCTCTTCTACATGTATTCTGTTTCCTCTAGTGGCCGATTCAAAATTACATTGCTGTGTGTCCAACATAAAAACCTGCAGATTTTTATGCCAGACATACAGAAATGTAATATGGAATTGACCACTAGAGGGAGCGAAATGCATGCAGAAAAGACCCCCCCCCCAGAGAATAGGAACACATAAGTGAGGAAAATGCAGAAGAGCTCAAAGTAATAAAGTAGAAAGCACCTCTGAGCCTGTGCAGAATACCTTTCCCTTGTGTATGAGTAACCACATGCCCCATGCATTAGGAAGGGCCTGTTTTTGAGAAGGGGAGTTTTCTGGTCTGAGTGAACTGTGAACAGATGTAACGTTCACACACACTAAATAACGCACTTTCAAGCCACTTTGCAACTGGATTTTACTGTGTGAAATGACAGAATCCACTTGCAAACGGTCGCTGAAGTGGATTGAAACTGCATTAATTAGCATGTGTGAAAGCGCCCGTATCTCATAACACTAAACAATGTTAAATGATCTCTATTCTGCTTTTCCAAATAACTTTTGCAGAAGCAGGTAATAATCCATTTAAATGAACAAATAAAAAAAACTAAAATACAATTACCCCCCCCCCCCATCAGTAACACATCAGCAGCGGCAAAAAAGTAGAAAGCAAAAGAGCCATTTTAGTTACTCGGTAATTAGTGCGTTTCTCTTGTTTACTGAATACGCTATCCAGGGAGTCTTAACGTCTGGTACACAAGGTAAGCCAGTGGCAGCCAGTGATGGTTGGGAGTTGAGGCTAAGGGAGTGTGACTGGCCCCCAGTCACCCAGCAAACGTCCTTGGCAGCGTGGGAGTTTGAACCAGCTTCTCCCCAGATCATAGTCTGATATTCTAACCACTGCACCATGCTTTGGTCTGGGTAGAGGGGAAATATTTTTAACAGTAGCCAATTCTAAAATGAAGAGGCTTTTTAAAAACTCAGACCTGCAGGACTTAAATTAGAAGCCTGCACCACGCGCGGTCCCTCTGAGCATGCACAGAGTGCATTTTTGGGGTTCACACCTACCTTGGCCCGCATGACTAGAGGCTGGAGCTTACTGGTTGGGACGGCTGGTTTCCAAACCACCTCGAGCTCCAGCGGCATCTCTCGTGAGAACTTAAACCACTGCCAGCCAACCCCTTTCAGCCCCCCCCCCGTGCCGTGTTTCTTGCCACCCTCTTTCCCCTTCCACAAGATTAGCTGCCCAGAGCCCATGTCCATCCCGGGCCTCTCCAGTTCAAAGGAGCTTGGGATGGGGGAGCCGGTGTCCAGCATCTCTGGACTAAACGGACCAATGGGCCCGACTCTTTGAACGGCAGCTTCGTCGATTCATAAGGGAGTGGTCTCTTGGGATTGTTTAAAAACCTGCCTCTATCTCTTCTCTCTCGAGAAAGGAATCCTGGCTGAGACTTTGTTTATGCAGAAGTGAGTGGCGTTGAAATCAGGGGCAAAAGTCACTTTTGATTTCTTTTAGGTCCTGGTTGTCTTGGGGGGGGGGTCTTGAAGCTTTGGCTGCTGTCTTAGTGGTACTCCGCACTGGCCTGAGCTGGCTTGCTTTTGCCCCAGCTTTGACTCTAGCGGAGTACTGTGGGGGCTTTCAGTTCTGGGTCTGGTGTGGGCCCTCCTTGTGTGCTCTCGGTGGAGCCCCTGAAATCGGTTGTAGCCCCTGTGAGTGAATGGCAGGCCATTGGCTGCACACGTGGAAACGTGGAAACTTTATCTCCAATTTTGTGTGTTGAGGTGGAGTTACTCCAGGGTAAAAAGGGGGAAATGGCAAAGGGGGAGGACTCACAGTTTACAGGGTTGCGGCTTCGTGATAGAATGTATGATTTGCATGCTGAATGTCCCGGGTTCAATCCTTGGCATCTCCAGGGTTTTTTTAAAAAGCCAACGGGGTGGCCGATGTGAAAAATCCTGGAGAGCGGCTGCCAGTCAGAGTAGACAAGGCAGACCTTGAAAGACCAAGGCAGCTTTGTGTGACATTTAGGGGAGGGGCTGTGGCTCAGTGATACAGGATTCACCTTGCATGCAGGAGGTCCCAGGTTCAATCCCTGGCATCTCCACTGAGAAGATCTGGTAGTGAGTGAAGGACCCTGGAGAGCGTCTTCCAGTCCGAGCAGACAATACGGACTTTGATAGAAGGGGTCTGGATTGTGTGACCTAGGCCACTTGGTCCATTGCCTGTGTGCCCTCACAATTTTAACAAAACAACAAGCTTGAAGAATGTTCTGTCAAATCTGATGCGATTTCTGTCAGTGAGGGGGATGGCGGGGAATGGCTACGGAATGTTCAATGAAATCTCTGTGTGTGAGACCTTGCGTTGCCTTTGATGCGTGCTCCTAGTCACTTCTGAGGGGGGAAACTGGAGTGGAGAGATGGGCAGGCTGGTTTTGCCATAGGCGTTACCTGCTTTGTGAAGGGCCGTCCTTCACGACTGTCTGGGACCTTCAGGTAACTTGGAACGAACACAGCAGCCTCTTTCCTTTGGGCAGAGAGCGTGAGATGCCAAGGCTCCATTGTCTGCTTGGCCGAAGGCACGTCAGGCTGTTTTGGGGCCCAGATATTCCCTAAGCACATGTCCAGATCTTCTCTCCTCAGAACAGATGTTCTCTTCAGTTGTCATAAGTCCATGATAAGGCCAGGGTTTCAGAGACTGCCTTTCCCTTACGCTTCTCTTTGTGCTCAGTATTTTGTGGTTATTTATGTTGATCTGAATTAAAAAAACAACATTATTACACACTACTGTTTTGTTTGAATTTTTTCCCCCTTCGTGGATCAACACAGCAGCCTTCTTCTTCCCCCTATTGTCCCCTCATGGTACCTTCCAGTGCAATCCTAAGCGGAGTTATGCCCTTCTAAGGCTGTTGACATCAATGGTCTTAGAAGGGGATTAACTCTTCTTAGGGTAGCCGTGTTAGTAACAAGTTGCTGGCAGCTAGGGTTACCAGCAGGGCTTTTTTTGTAGAAAAAGCCCAGCAGGAACTCATTAGCATAACAGGCCACACCCAACAGCAGAAACTCATTAGCATATTAGGCCACACCCCCACGTTGCCAGAAGTGTGGTCCCCCAGCCACACCCACCTTTTGCTTCTTATTCTGTTTACCCAGGGCTTTTTTTGTAGCAGGAACTCCTTTGCATGTTAGGCCACACACCCCTAATGTAGCCAATCCTAATGAGTTTCTGCTGTTGGGTGTGGCCTATTATGCTAATGAGTTCCTGCTGGGCGTGGCCAACTCAGGAGCCAGCCGGAACTCCGTTCCTGTGTGTTCCTGCCCAAAAATAGCCCTGGTTACCAGCCTTCACGTGGGGCCTCCCGGGATTACAGTTGATCTCCAGACAACAGAGATCAGTTCCCCTGGAAAAAATGGCTGCTTTGGAGGGTGGGGTTTTGAGGACTCATACCCCACTGAGGTCCCTGTCCTCCCCAGGCTCCACCCCCAAATCTCCAGGAATTTCCCAGCCCTGAGCCTTATAGTTCTGGTCACCGTCTCTCAAAAGTGTACGGTTCTGGTCACCACACCTCAGAAAAGATATAGCG